ATAAATAAATAAATCTTAAAAAAAAAAAGAAAACAATGGTGCTGGAACAACTGGACATCTACATAAAAAAAATGAATCTAGACACAGACCTTACATGCCTCACAAAAATTAACCTAATATGGATCATAGACCTAAATATGAAACGCAAACCTCTACTACTCCTAGAAGAGAATATAGGAGAAAACCTAGATGACCTTGAGTATGCTGGTGCCTTTTTAGATAAAACACCAAAGACACGATCCATGAAGGAAATAATTGATAAGCTAGACTTCAATAAAATTAAAAACTTTTGCTGTAAAGACAATGTCAAGAGAATTAGAAGAGAAGCCACAAACTGGGAGAAAATGTTTGCAAAAGACACATGATAAAAGACTGTTATCCAAAATATACAAAGAACACTTAAAACTCAGAAAGAAGAAAACCACTCTATTAAAAAATGGGCCAAAGACCCTAACAGACACCTCACCAAAGAACATATACAGGTGGTAATAAGCATATGAAAAGGTGTGCCATATAATTTATCATCATGGAAATGAAAACTTAAAAAAAATGAGATACCAGGGCAGCTGGGTGGTTCAGTCAGTTAAGTGTCTGCCTTCAGCTCAAGTCATGATCCCAAGGTCCTGGAATCAAGTCCCACATCGGGTTCTCTGCTTGGCAGAGAACCTGCTTCTCCCTTTGCCCCCTCCTTGCTTGTGTGCTCTCTCAATCTCTCTCTCTCAAATAAATAAATAAATAAATAAAATCTTTTTAAAAAATGAGATACCATAACACATCTATGAGAATGGCCAAAATCCAGAACACCAACACAAAATACTGGTAAGGATGTGGAACAACACAAACTCTTGTACATTGCTGGTAGGAATGCAAAATGGCTCAACCAATTTCGAAGAAGGCTGGGTAGTTTATTTTTAAGATTTTATAATATATATTTAAGATTATAAGAATTATAAGAATATAAATGTTATATATTTAATATATATTTAAGATTTTATTATAGATATAAGATGTGGTATATATATAAAATGGAATATTACTCAGCAATCAAAAAATGAAATCTTGCCATTTACAACAACGTGGATGGAACTAGAGGGTATTATGCTAAGCGAAATAACTCAGAGAAAGACAATTATCATATGATTTCACTCATATGTGGGATTTAAGAAACAAAACAGAGGAGCATAAGGGAAGGGAGGGAAAAATAAGATGAAATCAGAGAGGGAGACTAACCAGAGACTCTTAATCATAGGAAACAAATTGAGGGTTGCTGGAGGGGAAGGAGGAGATGGGTTAACTGGGTGATGAGCACTAAGGAGTGCACCTGATGTAATGAACACTGGGTGTTATAAAAAACTGATGAATTGCTGAATTCTACCTCTGAAACTAATACACTGTTAATTAATTGAATTTAAATAAAAATAAACTTCATAAATTACCTATTTAAAAAAAAAGAAATCTCACTCCTTGGTATTTACCCAAAGGAGCTGAAAACTTATGTTCACACAAAAACCTGCACTCAGATATTTATGGGAGCTTTATTCATAATTGCTAAAAGTTAGAAGCAACCAAGATGTCCTTTAGCAGGTGAATGGATAAAATAAACTGTGGTACATCTAGAGCATTGCATATTATTCAGTGCTAAAAAGAAATGAGCTATCAAGCCATGAAAATACATGAAGGATCCTTAAATGCATATCATTAAATGAAAGAAGCCAATCTGAAAAGGCTGCATACTATAGGATTCCAACTACATGATGTTCTGGAAAAGGCAAAACTACGGAGATTTTAGTATTAGTGGTTGCTGGGGATGGGAAGGCAGGGCACAGAGGATTTTTAGGGCAGTAACAGTGCTCTGTATAATGATGGATATATGCCATTATATGTTTGTCCAAACCTCTAGAATGTACAATACCGAAAGTGAACCTTAAGGTAAACTATGGATTTTGGGTGATTATGATAGGTAAATGTAGGTTCATTCTCAGTAAAATGGAATATGATAAATATTCCAAAATATATAAATAAATCTTAAAAAAATATTCAATGTATACCATTCTGGTGAGTGATGTTGATAATGGGGGAGGCTATGCATATGGGGTACAGTAATATATGGGAAATCTCTGAATCTTATCAATTTTGATGTAAACCTAATAACTCTTTTTTTATTTTTTATTTTTATTTTTATTTATTTTTTTTAAAGATTTTATTTATTTATTTGAGAGAGCAAGAATGAGAGAGAGAGAGCACATGAGAGGAGGGAGGGTCAGAGGGAGAAGCACACTCCCTGCTGAGCAGGGAGCCCGATGTGGGACTCGATCCCGGGACTCCAGGATCATGACCTGAGCCGAAGGCAGTCGCTTAACCAACTGAGCCACCCAGGCGCCCCTAACTCTTTTTTTTAAATGATTTTATTTTTTTGAGAGAAAGAGAGCCGATGCACAGGCAGCGGTGGGGACAGAGGTAGAGAGAGAGAGAAAGAGACTCTCAAGCACGTACTATCCTCAGCAAGGAGCCTGATGCGGGGCTCAATCCCACGACCCTGAAGTCATGACCTGAGCCAAAACCAAGAGTTGGATGCTTAACCGACTGAGCCACCCCAGCGTCCCTAAACCCTAGCATACTCTTGATATTATTTGATATCTTTTTGAAGAGTAACTTGGCAATAACTATTCAAATTAAAATGTTCTTAGCTCTTGACTTAGCAATTCCATTTTTGAGGATGTATAAAAATAATTTTCACAAACAGGCAAAGATGTGTGCAGCAGGATTTTATTACAGCTTTACTTATAATAATAAATGTTGGAAATAACCCTGATGCCCCCTGGTAGTTACTAACTGTTGGACAATGGAATAGTCTACAGTGGTTAAAAATGAAAGTAATGCTATATGAGCTGCCATGGAAAAAGTAACAGTAAATTGCAAAAGATTATGTAGTATTAGCTTGCTTTCATTTTATTTTATTTTTATTTAAAGATTTTATTTATTTTTTGACAGAGTGAGGGACAGCGAGAGAGGGAACACAAGCAGGGGGAGTGGGAGAGGGAAAAGCAGGCTTCCTGCCAAGCAGGGAGCCCAATACGGACAGAAAAAAAATGGAGATACATACATCAAAGTCTTAATTATTTTGAAGTAGGATTACAAGAGATTTTCACATTCTATAGCAATTGTTAATTCACAATATTCCATAGGATTCTTGTATTAAATGAGTTAGTATAAGGCAATTAAAACGGTGGAACATAGCACACAGAAGCTATTACATAAATATTGTTACACTATGTTAAATATTTTTGAAATACTTTGATTTTTTTTACAACAGATATGTATTATTTTTTTAAGGCAGAAAAAAATGAGGTGGCGAAAATGCCTTGAGATTTTTAAACATGAAAAGTTAAAAATGAGAGCTGGAGGAGGCTAATGGGTCCTCTATGCATATTTGAAAGAAGTAGCTAGTTGAAAAGGAAAGGCTGATAATGATAAGGACCAGACAGAAGAGAATGAGAAACTATAATGATAAAATCAACTCATATTTAATGAATGTTTATAGTGGACCAGAAGCTCCAATTGCTTTGGAGCCCACAAGGAAAAAAAGTTAATCTGGAGAGGAGGAGGAACAATCTTCCTTCGAAGATTAGAACAAAGATTTTTAACCTTACCTTTTCTAAAATTATATGCTAAATTTGGTGGACAAATGCATTTTTTAAATATCCAAGACAAGATCCATAACTTCCAGCAGATTTCTAAGAGTGTGTGAGCCCTCTCTTTCAAAGAATCAAAGGATGAAAGATTGGTTGCAAAAAGAACTATTTTGAGGGCACCTGGGTGGCTCAGTTGGTTAAGCGACCGCCTTCGGCTCAGGTCATGATCCTGGAGTCCCTGGATCGAGTCCCTGGATCGAGTCCCTGGATCGAGTCCCTGGATCGAGTCCTTGGATCGAGTCCTTGGATCGAGTCCCGCATCGGGCTCCCTGCTTGGCAGGGAGTCTGCTTTTCCCTCTGACCCTCCCCCCATCTCATGTGCTTTCTCTCAAATAAATAAATAAAAATCTTTAAAATAAATAAAAATCTTTAAAAAAAAGCTTTACTAAAAAAAAAAGGACTATTTTGAGAAAATGAGAGGGCTTTTGCCAGATACAGGATCCTTCTTTATATTAGTTAAGAAGGATTAGAGATTCCCTTTAAGGACAGTGAAATTTAGTGATTATGACATTCCCAAGTTGTGATAGTTGATTCATCTTCCTCCCTCCGTAATAGACGTCTAATGGCAGAGCGAATTTATACAGCTCAGACTCAGCGTTTAGTTTTCGCAGATCAATGGGCTCACCCAGAATCTTTTCTTTCCACTTCCTCGAAGTCAATCCAAAATTTTCCCAAACATCTTTTCAAGGAAGCCTTTGATAAATCTGTTTGGATGCTAGATCTGGCTTCTATCAACTTTTGGAGAAGTTTAATGCCTCTGATTCAGTTTTCTTGCATTTGTCAATTAGCATTGAATGATAATTTCAATTTTTTGTGAGGATCAAACGAGTTATCTGTGAAAACCTCTTGCAAAGTTTTGGTAAATATCAGTGCTATGCAATTTTCAGAATATATTCAGGAAAATTTTTAAGTTTTCTGAAGAATGGGTGTCCTGCGCAGTCTCGCCCCCCCAAATAAAGTGGATGGGCGCTCCTCCCGGATTGAGGCTACGTCTTTCGCTCCTTTTGTCTTTCAGTCGGACCAGAACTGTCATGGCGCCTTCAAGAAGAGAGGGAAGGCCTTTCGCCCAGCAGAATCATCGGGGGCACCTGGACTGGACGAAGGGATGGACAGAGAGACTAGCCCCAGTTGAGACCGAACACACCGAAGCCTCCGAGATGTCTCCGCCGGACAGGCTCAAGGGGAGGAGACGGGATTGAAGACTAGGCCAGCGAGCGATCGTCTTCCCGGGGCACCGCCCACCTTGACCGCCTTATCCAATGGAAACCCAACGGCAGTGCGGCACCGCCCATCTGTTGGTCGGGACGCCGCGAGGGCGGGGCCCGCAGTTCGGTTGCGCTGCGGAGCGCAGCTGTGAGGGAGTCTCTCTGGTCCACGACCCCGAACCCGAGCTGGAGCTGAAGCGCAGGCTGCGGGGAGCGGAGTCAGGAGGTAAGCGCCGAGGGGAATGAGCGGGAGGAAGGGGTTCGGCGAGAAGATGGAAGGTCGGCCTCCGCGGCCCGGGGTGCTGGGACCCCGGCAGGCGGGTGTCTGGTGGCGGCTCTGCTCGCTCGGCGGCCCAGGCCCGGCCCGCCGGAACCGAGGGGCCGCCCGGGCCCCACAGTCTCTGCCGGGCCTGCCCGGAGTTGCGGCGACCCAGAATTCTGCCGGCGCGGGGCGCGAGGCCGGGGCGTTCGCGTCGAACTGGGGCTGACGAGAGGCGGGGCCGGCGGCGGGGGCGGTGGTGGCGGGCCCCGCGGCCTGCGGAAGCGCAGCGTCGGGGCCGCGCCTGCTGGCGGAGGCCGGCGCGCCGACTGCGCGGGGGCGTGGCCTGCGCCCTGACGGCGCCGCGGGGCCGGCCTTTGATGAGGTGGCGGCCGCTGGCTCCCGGGCCTGCGGGACTGCAGGCGCTCCCTTGCAGACCGTGGGCAGGGCGACCTGTTGGAGCGTGAAGCCGTACCCTGCTCTTGCTTGACGTCAGACCGGACAGTCCTGTGGGTCCCGGAGGCCCTTTGGTCTGCTCGGGGTGAGGGTAGCTCAGAGGCCTGTGGCCTGTGAGCTGTCGCCGAGGAGTTGAAATGCAGAGGGGCTGCAGTCCAATAAATAAAAGTCTCCGAGAAAAACTTTGCGCGACGATCTACCTACACTGCTCAGAAGTGAACACACTATTCTCGGGGTTGCTGGAGGCGGCGAGGAGATTCCCTTGTAGGGGCGTAAATGACCTTTTCCGTATGTGATCTCTTACATCTCTGAATGACCCTGAGATGAAAATCCCAGCGTTACAATGGTTTCTTCATCAGGAGGGGAAGTGCTGGGGGATCTTGGGCAGTGCCTTCCTTTTGCCTGCTGGGGAAAGCTTGGGGAGGGAGAAGACAAGCACATTCCAAGGACATGTCTGTGACCGGTAAAGGATTGGCTTCTTTTGTGGTGTTCTGTGGATTGTCTGTGCCGAGTCCAGAGGTTTCCTTAGAGCCCATTGGTTACAGGCTTCCTGTATTAGAACTCCACTGGTATTTCCTATTATAATCTAGCTGGAAATTTTACTTAGCTGTTCAGATTCAAGATGCATTCTATAAATATAGGTGCTCTAGGAAGTAATCCATAAGAACTTTCTTATTACTTTCTTACTTTTCAGGGGAAGAAAAAGGAAAATGATCTCTAACTCATTTTCTGGTAGATTACTTAGATATACAGATAGTAGCTTTCTTGGCTGGTTGAATAAACTCTATGATAGTCAGGACCTAGAAAATAACAGGGAAAGAATATCTTGCCAGATTTTCTCTGTAGTGTGTTGTGGTTCTCTGGTATTTACTAGAATGTCATCAAATAAGAATCTCCTGATTTGGGTTGAACATAGTGTAGGCTGGGGGTGGAGATTGGCAGAAGCGGGTATCCAAGAGTTCTAAAATGAGGGCTTTTCAAAAGATTGGTGTTAGTCAGAGGCTTCTATATTCTGAACTGACTTAGAGGAGGAAATCTGCTTTCCAGAATGTCACTTTCATACTGGAGCCCTCCTTTGAGCCCAGCACACGCAGGTTTCAACTCCTTCACAGCCATTGTTCTTAGAGATTTGGAATAACATTCAGCGGTTGTCCTGTGACTGGACAAGTTAATGACATTTAGCTTTTGAGAATTCTTTTTCTTCCAAGTAGCCATGTATCTTGAAAAAAATATTATACTATATAGTACTTTTTCCTGTAACTGCCATATCTTGAGTTATTTGTTCTTTTTTTTAAAAATATTTTCTTTTTAAGATTTTATTCATTTGAGAGCAGGAGAGCCCATGCGCATGGGGGGTGGCAGAGGGGGAAGCAGACTCCCCGGCTGAGCCGGGAGCCAGATTCTGGGTTTGATCCCAGGACCCAGGACCTGAGCCAAGACAGATGCTTAACGGACTGATCTACCCTGGTGCCCCTTGAGTTATTTGTTCTTGAGGGAATATCTCTGTCAGGTCTAGTATCCCAGAGGGTGGAGCTTTGAGCCATGTGAATGAAATGAAAGCTGGAATCTGCAAGTTCTAGATCAGTTTAAATTTGTGGCTCCATGAATGTGGGCATCTCATTTATTTTATTCACTAGTGTATCTCAAGTACCTAGCCCAGTGCTTGGCCTACAGTAAGTGCTTAATAAACATTTGTTGAATGAGTGAATGAAAAAAAATGTTGCTAACCAATACCCATTTGCACACTCACATCACAGGGAAGGTGAGATCATCAGGGATGAAGTCACTAACCACTGCCAGTCACCTGGGCCAAGATAGCCTCATCATGGACTGGCAGACTTGATCTGTGTATAGGAGGGACAGATAGCAAATACCAGAATTCTAATGGAATAAATTAGCTGAGGGTTTCAGCTGGATAAATTCTCAGAGTGCTACAAGTCCAGCTTTAGGGCTGAATCAGTGGAACATTTTGGGGTCTGGAGTCATCTGTTCTGAACAGGGCCCATGTAGCTTAGTTCTTGAGCACAGTGCAAATAGAGGCAGGCGAGGATTCAAAGGGAAGGTTTTGGGTGAGTATTGCTGAGAAGGAGTGGTGTCTGTCCCTGATTTGGCCGTTCATTTGGACCTTACTAATGGGGGTTGTATTGTCATAAATCTTAGGTTTGCCACTCCTGGTGGGTCATCTTCAACCAACATAAGTTCCCTTCTCTAGATAAGAGAGTAGTTAATGTTTCAGTGTTCAGACAGGATTAATTTGATTTTGGATTTAGAGGAAATAAGGGAGGTATATGGTTTGTTTCCTTTTTAACCCCAGATGAGGTTATTAGGATTAAGCATGAAGCCCAACGTGGGGCTTGAACTCACCCAGGTGCCCCAGAATTAAATCTTTATGGATCTATCCTGACCCTTTCTGCCTTCTCCCTCCATCCTTGCCCCAACCAATGCAGGCTTGAGTGTTTGTTCCAGCATGTCGGAGGGGGAGTCCCAGACAGTAGTCAGCAGTGGCTCAGACCCAAAGGTAGAATCCTCATCCTCAGCTCCTGGCCTGACGTCAGTGTCACCTCCTGTGACCTCCACGACCTCAGCTGCTTCCCCAGAGGAAGAAGAAGAAAGTGAAGATGAGTCTGAGATCTTGGAAGAGTCACCATGTGGGCGGTGGCAGAAGAGGCGAGAAGAGGTAAGGTGGTTGTAGTGTCATTCTTGCGGGAGTGAATTCTAAATGCAAAGTGGAAAGGGAAAGTCTCAAAGGGGCAGACCAAACTTTAACAGATCAGAGCCTAGGAGAGGATGATCATGTAGAGTATTAAAATGGAGGGTTTATAAGGCAACTTTGATAATTCCTTTCCATTTGAATTTCTTCTCAGGTGAATCAACGGAATGTACCAGGTATTGACAGTGCATACCTGGCCATGGATACAGAGGAGGGTGTAGAAGTTGTGTGGAATGAGGTCCAGTTCTCTGAACGCAAGAACTACAAGCTGCAGGAGGTAGGTAATGGTGAAAGGATGTAGCCTGTGGGGTGTTAGAATGCAGGTGTTATGAAACAAGACAAAACCAGAGAGGGAGACAAACCATAAGAGACTCTTAATCTTAGGAAACAAACAGGGTTGCTGGAGGGGAGGGGTGAAAGGATGAGGTGGCTAGATGATGGACATTGGGGAGGGTATGTGTTGTGGTGAGTGCTAGATAAGACTGATTGTTATATAAGACTGATGCATCACAGACCTGTACGCCTTAAATAATACATTTTATGTTAATTAATTGAATTTAAGTAAAAAATAAAGAATGCAGGTGTTAAAGAGGAATTGGTGTTGAGAAGCTGAGTAGGAGGAGAGTATGTCGGGATTAGATCATTTCTGGGGAGGGATAAGGAATGGCTTTTCAGGATTATAGTGATTTCTGAACCCTGTTATCCCACACTCTCCCCTGCTTTCAGGAAAAGGTCCGTGCTGTGTTTGATAATCTGATTCAGTTGGAACATCTCAACATTGTTAAGTTTCACAAGTATTGGGCTGACATTAAAGAGAACAAGGCCAGGGTAAGAACTTTTTCTTGAGTTTACCGCAAAGAGACTAGCTACATTTATTGTTCTTTTTACATTCAGAGATAAAAATAAGGTAGTTTTGAAACAAAACTGGAATCGGCTGTTGTGGAGATGAAAGTAGGGCTTTGTCTATGTCCTATGCCTTTTGTCTGGTGATGGGGCAGAAATGAGCAAACTTTTGTTTCTTTCCCATAGCTCTTTTCTTTTTTCTTTCTTTTTCTTTTTTTTTTTTTAATTTTTTCTTTTTTAAAGATTTTATTTATTCATTTGGGACAGAGAGATAAAGAGAGAGAAAGCATGAGGAGGGAGAGAGGCAGGGGGAGAAGCAGGCTCCTCACTGAGCCAGGAGCCCAATGTGGGGCTTGATCCCATGACCCTGGGATCATGACCCGAGCCAAAGGCAGACGCCCAACCATCTGAGCCACCCAGGCGCCCCTTTCTTTTTCTTTTTTTTAAAGATTTTATTTATTTGTCAGCACACAAGCGGGGGAGCGGCAGGCAGAAGGAAAAGCAGGCTCCCCACTGAGCAAGGAGCCCGATGCAGGACTCGATCACAGGACCCTGGGATCATGACCTGAGCCAAAGGCAGACGCTTAACAGACTGAATCACCCAGGCATCCCTACTTCCCATAGCTCTTGTTCAGTAGTTTTTTTTCGTCCTGTTAAATCTAAGGAAGTGGTGCCAACAACAAAAGGGAAACTTAAAACAACCGCCACCACCAGACTTCTAAATCTAATACATATCTGGTATACATGTCATCAGGTAGGGGATCATTTCTACTCTAAGGCCTTATTTGAGTGCTTTGCCTCTCCAGGTCATTTTTATCACAGAATACATGTCATCTGGGAGTCTTAAGCAGTTTCTGAAGAAGACCAAAAAGAACCACAAGACTATGAATGAAAAGGTATGGAGGCAGAGCAGACAAAGCTTTAGGCTGGTTTAGGGGTTTTAAAAAGATTATATTAATCATGAAGCTCTAATCGGGAAGGGATGGAGGGGAACTAGTTGGAGGGTTAAGAGAGGGGATTACTGCTGACCCTTTGGTCAAACTGTTCCAGGCTTGGAAGCGCTGGTGCACGCAAATCCTCTCTGCCCTTAGGTAAGTAGGATCTGGTTAGTGTTTTTCCCCTATTTCCTGGTTTAGTTCCTCCAAACAGATTTTAGGGCACTACTCCATACTGTCCCATACTGTCAAGATTAGGCCCCTATTGTCTTTTAAAGGGTCCATCCTAATGCCCTGACCACGATGCTATCTCCCACCTCTTTCTCCTAGTGCTTATCCAGCTATTTTAACTCATCAGGCGTAACGGAGATTCAGAGTGTGGGGATTATCTCTGTGGTGACCAGCAGGAGACCAGGCCCTTGCTCCTCTTAACCCTTGGGTTCCCCCTGCCCTTAATTTCCCAGTGGCCCCTCTAACAGCCCAGTGCCCCCACAGCTACCTGCACTCCTGTGACCCCCCCATCATCCATGGGAACCTGACCTGTGACACCATCTTCATCCAGCACAACGGACTCATCAAGATTGGCTCTGGTGAGGGGAGGGAGAGGTTCTGGGCAGGGGAGCCTCGGGAATTTGGGAACCATGGGGGTAAGGTGAAAGGAGTGGGGAGAGTAGAGCCAAATTCTGAGGTGTGGGCTGGTGGTAAGAGATAGGACTTTGCTAGGGGTAATTAGGGGGTAGGGTCAATCTTACACCTTTTTTGGAGGGAAGTGGATTAATCCAGAGATCTTGATAGGAGGTTGGAAAAGGGCAAGAGTTGGGTCTAAGGTCTGACTTGAGCCCCTGGGGCCAGACCCTACCAAAGGAGGTTCCAGGCTGTGCCTGCTGTGAGTGCTTTCATTTGCCGTGTATCTGTGTGCTGTGTATAACATTTCTGTGTGCTGTGTCTTTGTGTGGTTTGTGTGTCCATTTGTCTGGGGCTTGGCTGCTCCATTGCTCACAACTTTTCTCTGTTTTCCTCCCTCCCGCTTACGGGCTGCTCTGTTCCCAACAGTCTTTCATAGGATTTTTGCTAATGGTGAGAGCTCCCTGTTGCCCCATGTGGGGCTCTGTTTGTGCTCCGTCTGCTCCCCTTTGCGGCTGCCCAGTGCATGCAGTCGTGGGAGCAAGCCCTATTCCCCTACTTCCCCTGCCTAATTATGCCTGCTTGGCTTCTCCCTACCAGCTCTCCACGTGCTTGCCCTTCCATAACTTGCTTGTTTCCTGTGGATTCTGCCTGGCTGGCCATTTTTGTCCTGGATTCTTATTTCCCTTCATCATCAGGCTGGTTCCCTAAATCATACTGTGCTCCCAGACTCTCTGTGATCTGTTGTCATTGTTGACGATCTGAGTGAGTCCAAATTGGGCCCGGCCCTGGTTCCTCGTTAAGGCCTGTGGCAGCAATGTTGAGGAATAAGGGAGTAGAGCAGGAGACTGAAATTTTGGTGGATTAAACGAGACTGATTCAAGGGTATTGGTTCAACTTTGAGCTGTTTTTGAGTTTTAGGCAGCAAAGGTGGGTGAGAAGGAGGCTATCTAGTTGGTTGTACTGTTAATCCTTCTTACCTTTTTTCTCCAGGTTTCTGAGATCTTTAATTGTCCCAGATTAGAAAGGGCTGCCTATGTTTTTATGCTATTTGCAGGGTAGCTGAAAGAACTAGACCACACGTTTTCATGTGACAGGGATTAGATATTCCTGAGCTTTGGGGAAGGTGAGCAGATCACAAGCAAAAGTTTTTCCTTAGCCTCCATTGCTTCTTGGCCAGCTCAAGGCCCCTGTATACGTATTAGTTTAGTGTGGAGTGTTTGTTGCTGCTGAATTAGGGACCTTAAATGAGAAGCAGTTGACCCAAGAAAGGGGAGGTAGGTGGTGTTCATGTTTAGTCTGTGGTTCAAGATGGGAAAAGGACAGGTTTGCGCCTTGAGGGTTAGAGTCATCAGGAGAGAATTTGGCTTTTGGGGACCTCTCTCTGGAGTGAGACTATGCTTTGTTGATGGTGGTCAGATTGTGGGTATCTCCCCTACTCCCAGTGGCTCCTGACACTATCAACAATCATGTGAAGACTTGTCGGGAAGAGCAGAAGAATCTACACTTCTTTGCACCAGAGTATGGAGGTGAGGCACCAGTTTCTCTGCCCTCTCCCTGTTCTCCAGGTTTCCACCTTATAACCTGAGGCCCAGAGGTAATAGAACTGAAACTTCTAGTTCTCTGCTGGCTTAACAAAAAGTTTTTAAAAGGCATTTCTGCAACCCCTTGCCCCCATCCTCTGATTCACCAAAGGCTTCTCTCTTTTCCCTAGAAGTCACTAATGTGACAACAGCAGTGGACATCTACTCCTTTGGCATGTGTGCACTGGAGGTGAGGAAACCACAAACAGTGGTGTTGGAAAGGGGTCAAGTTAGAAGATGGAAGGGGGAAATGGAGGGAGGACAAGTAAGGTCTTGAGGGGGTGATTTTGGAGCACTGAAGTTCTGAAGTTTCTGCTGGTCTTTTCTGTTCCCTCTCACTGCAGATGGCAGTGCTGGAGATTCAGGGCAATGGAGAGTCCTCATATGTGCCACAGGAAGCTATCAGCAGTGCCATCCAGCTTCTAGAAGACCCATTACAGAGGGTAAGAATCTTCTGGATCACTCCCTGAACAGACTTTGAAATGTTCTTTAGGTTTTTCTTCCTTTTTACTTACTTGGAATATACTGTCTTCTAAGAGCAAGAAAACAGAAAGCAGAAAGGACAGGCAGAAGCAGTGAATATTTGAATATTTCCCTAGGCGGTACCTATGTTGTTCTTTGTATATACACACACACAGGTTAAGGGTTTAAGATGGGTAGTACTGGGTGTAAAGGTAGTGTGTTAATTTAGGTGTGTTTACCTGGAGGTAAACTAATGTAATGATTACCTCAGGTAATTGGTATATGCTCTCAGACAACCATCTTGATATTTTTAAACAAATTGACCAGTTCGAATTAAATCTGTCATTTGGGGTTTTATATTTCTAGAGTTTTATGTAGGGAAAGTGCCCTGAAATAACAAGCTGAGATTTAAAGGGTGTAAGGTTCTGAATCAGTAGACGACAGTAAGTAGAGGCTAGATGGGAAGGTCCAAACAAGGATCGTTGGTAACATTAGATAGTGTGGCAGGGGGGCCAGTGGGAGGTCCCAAGGCTAGTGTGGGCTACGTCTCTAGTTCAGCATTAGGTTGGGGCATTCAAGTGACAGATTAGGGGGCGCCTGGGTGGCTCAGTTGGTTGGGCGGCTGCCTTCGGCTCAGGTCATGATCCTGGAGTCACAGGATCGAGTCCCACATCGGGCTCCCTGCTCAGCAGGGAGTCTGCTTCTCCCTCTGACCCTCTTCCCTCTCGTGCGCTCTCTCATTCTCTCTCTCTCAGATAAATAAATAAAATCTTAAAAAAAAAAGTGACAGATTAGGTATATGACCTTCTTGGCCTTCAAGTTTGTAAGGAGGAAAAGAAAAGCAGGTTAATCGTCATGGGACCTACGGGAGGTGGGAAAGGGGTGTGTGTGCGTGCAGAGGAAGCTTGGGGAAAGCCAGTGAACTCAATCAATGATTGTAGGAGACAAAGGAAATTGTGGTAGTTGGCTTGGAAAATAAAAAGGTGGTGAATACTGTTGACCACAGCAGATAGGTTTGGGAACAGAGAGGTAACTTCGGTGAGAATCGGAGAGGAAGGCAGGCAGTGAGTGGGCCGTTAAAGCGTGGAAGTAGAAAATCAGGAAAAAGAATTGGGAAGTTTGAATAGTAAAAAAAAAGAGAAAGCTTGTGGTTGGAGAGTAGAAAAACAATTAAAACCAGAAAAACCATGAACGGTACCTTTCATGTTAATACCTTAAAGCCCTTTCAGATACATGTAACAGTTTACTCCCTCAACCAGTGCTGACCACCTAGTATGTACAAAGCCTGGGCTAAGTATGAGTGATGAAGTGTCATGACGAACGCAGTGGTCTGGTTGCCAGATTCCCACTCTATTTCCTCATTCCCTTTTCTAGGAGTTCATTCAAAAGTGCCTGCATTCTGAGCCTGCTCGCAGACCAACAGCCAGAGAACTTCTGTTCCACCCAGCACTGTTTGAAGTGCCCTCGCTCAAACTCCTTGCTGCCCACTGCATTGTGGGACACCAACGTGAGTCCCCTTGGCCCTGCCAAGAATTTTCTACCCATCCGGAGCGTTAATAACTATCACTAGCAATGCTCTCCTTCCTTTTCCACTTCCAAAGGAATTCTTTACAGCCCAGGACCCCTGGGCCTTCCAGGACATTAATCTGACTAATAACTTTCCATTTCATCATGCCCTCCAGACATGATCCCAGAGAATGCTCTGGAGGAGATCACCAAAAACATGGATACCAGTGCTGTACTGGCTGAAATTCCTGCAGGACCAGGAAGAGAACCAGTACAGACTTTGTGAGTAATGAACTGAGAGGGTCTGAAAGGGACAGATTTGTCACTGCCACTGAGGGTTCTGTCAGCTGTCCATTCTTTGGGAGTTGGTGAATCTGCTGTTTTGCTTATTTCCTTCCTTTCACGTGCTTTCTCTTCTCCTGCAGGTACTCTCAGTCACCGGCTCTGGAATTGGATAAATTCCTTGAAGATGTCAGGTGAGAGAAGGGTGAGAGGAAAGGCTTGCTTGAAGAAGCAGGGTGGGTGTCCTGAGGCATTCACAGAGCCTGTGTGGCCTGTTTGATCTTGCTCTAGGAATGGGATCTACCCCTTGACAGCCTTTGGGCTACCTCGGCCCCAGCAGCCACAGCAGGAGGAGGTGACGTCACCTGTTGTGCCCCCCTCTGTCAAGACTCCAACACCTGAACCCGCTGAGGTGGAGACCCGCAAGGTGGGGCTAAGTGGGTGTGGAGGTCTCTGTGGTCATGGTGGAAGGGAGAAGAGCACACATCAAATAAGGCTTTGTCCTTTAGAGAAAAGAAGGTGTTTCTGCTTTCTAGCAAGCTTGTCCTGTAGGCTGCAAAGTCTTCTAGCTGTTGGGGGCTTTTTATTTCTTGGTAATACTACCGTGGTGACCCTCTGCGTCCCCTCTCCCTAGGTGGTGCTGATGCAGTGCAACATCGAGTCAGTGGAGGAGGGAGTCAAACACCACGTAAGGCTCAGGGCCAGGGCTGCAAAGGGCTGGGTGGCCGTGGGTGGAGAAGGGGAGCCTCATTTTCTGGCTGTCCTCTTCTCCAGCTGACGCTTCTTCTGAAGCTGGAGGACAAACTCAACCGGCACCTGAGCTGTGACCTGATGCCAAGTGAGTCTCTCCTTTCCCTCCGAGGATGAGAGTCTCTGTGTCTTATCTGTGAGGGACATTCTTAGGGGTGGGGAAGAAGGTTACAGGGCAGCAACACATTGATGCACATAGAACGAATATCTTAGCTCCTAAGACTGGAGGGTAGACGTGGCAGTTTCCGCTTGTTATCGTTCCTTCCCAGCTGGGCTGCCCCGACGGGCTGTGGGCCCCTTACTCGCACACCGTGCTCACCGTCTCCCTTCTCTCTGTCAGATGAGAACATCCCGGAGTTGGCAGCTGAGCTGGTGCAGCTGGGCTTCATTAGCGAGGTGAGCTTTCTGCCTGCAGCTGCCCTGGCCGCTCCATTCTCCTCTGGTCCCGTCTCACCCAGCTCTTCTCCCCCAGGCTGACCAGAGCCGACTGACTTCTCTGCTAGAGGAGACCCTGAACAAGTTCAATTTTGCCAGGAACAGCACCCTCAACTCAGCCGCTGTCACCGTCTCCTCTTAGAGCTCATTCGGGCCAGGCCCCTAATCAGAGCTGTGGCCGTCATTAGACGCGCGACAGCCTTCCTGCCCCCTCCCCCCCAGTCAGTATTACCCTGTGAAGCCCCTTCTCTCCTTTCTTATTCAGGAGGGCTTTGGGGCTCCCTGGTTCTGAGCATCACCCTCCCCCTTTCCCTTCTCTTCCTCCCCTCTGCACTTTGTTTACTTGTTTTGCACAGACGTGGGCCTGGGCCTTCTCAGCAGCCGCCTTCTAGTTGGGGGCTAGTAGCTGATCTGCCGGCTCCCGCCCAGCCTGTGTGGAAAGGAGGCCCACGGGCACTGGGGGAGCTGAAGTCTACAATCCCGCTGGGGCCGACGGGGCGGGAGAGAAGGGTGGTGCTGCAGTGGTGGCCCTGGGGGGCCATTC